TAAAGGAAGAAGGTAAAATCAACGAAATCAATCAATCCACAAGAACAAGTAGGAGAGGACCCAAATTAATCTTTCAGGTTCAAGGGATTGATTTAAAATTACTTGTAACGAATTTGAATTGTTATGAGTTAAAGGGTTTCCTTTTCTCTTCTTTCTTTGGGCATCCATGTACTGAATTTGAGTCACCACTGGATTGAATCACATTATTAGTCCGCTTTAGTAAAGGAGTACGAGTGGAACGACTTCGATAGGCCACAAATTGGTCTGTGCTGAAAAATTAAAGTATTTGTTCATGCTTAGCGTGCGTATATCGAGTTATGGATGGACATTCTACCAGTCAGCTCAGTATGTTATAAAGAATTTGCTCATGGTTTTAGCTGTACGCATATATCGATTTATAGATCCATGCATTTGGGAAGTTTGGAGTGCACTTAAGAAGCTAGAGTTGCGCTCTAACGCATCTTTATCGTGCTCTCTAAACTTTCCGCGTGCACCATTACTCGATATACGAACGGTAAGCATGAACAAATTCTTATTTTTGCGTCGTAGTGGTGCAAAACAACAAAAGCGGCAAAGAAATGTACAAGAAGTGTGATGCACGTGCGAAGTTGTTGTTTTGCTTATTAGACCTTACTTGTTTGTTTCACAAAGCTTCAGGACTTGCAAAGCAGCTAACATTGCGCTAACGTATAGCAATATACCTTTCTCACAGCAAAATCCACTGAAACCTTGTTGCAACTACACCAAATGTTTTGAAGAGTCCCACCGTTACAGCACCGCTGATTGCAACTCCTGATCTGCACAGGAACGTCCAAACGATATGGATATGGGGAATTTCCAAAGTAATTGGTCAGTTTAAAAGCTTGGCGTTTTCGGCATTGCCTTGCCATTTTACCTCACAAAAAGGTGCAATCAATCCACGGGGACCAGGAAGTCAAATGAATGTCCAATCTCTTAACGAACGAATTGGAGGAGTTTTATGTGCGTGGCTGCTTCTACCCTTACGAATCATCCAGCATCACAAGAAAAAGGGCAAGTATAATCAAACGCTGTCTTAGGGCCATTGATATCCTTTCAAAAGGTAGTGAGGTGATAAGCTAAAAGAGAGTGTAGCTGAATGTGAAGGTCGAATATATGTTCCGTTAGTTAAGCTTGATTTCAATTAAATTCGCTTATAAACTGAACTTCCCTCGTATTTCTCACTCACATCGCCTGACTGTTAGCTCTAGTTTATCTATAACTGTTTTCTTTTTTGGCCTTTTTAGCTTTTTTAGGATGTTTTTTCATGTGAGATACCGAAACTGTACTTAACTGTAATTTCCTACTTTATTTCCTTAAATGCTATATCGATATTGACCTTTTGCGATGTCCTCACTGAAAGTTACCATTTTTTAGAACTAAAAAATAAGGACTTGGAATTAACTGGGTGTTAAATTTATCAAGGCAAAACCGAAATTGAAGAAAAGGTACCACTAAGGCGAAAGTTTTCCAAGTGCTACTTCACTTATCTCTCAATTTCTTTCTTTTCTCGTTTCGTTTCTTTTGCTTTGTTCTAAATGTTTTTCCAAGTACCACACGGGCAAAATATGTGCGCTAGTCGATATTTTTAAGTTTGCAGGCCGGAATCTCGAACTCGACCGGACTAAATAGTTAGTAGTATAGTAAAATGGGTATCCTGCCTCAGTCTAACAATAATTGTAACGCAAATCTTAATAAATCTAAAATCCCAGATTATGCAAAGGATTACAAAAACGAATGTCTTTTTATAAAAGGTATTGATAAGACATGTGGGGAATTTGTAAAGAAATTAGATGAAGAAGAAATATTTAAAAGTCCCCAAACTGATAGTCTTATGAGACATATTAATAAACTTTTTAAAGCAGAAGAATTAGGATATCTTAATGATATTAGTGAAATAAAATTTTTAGAAAAAGATATTAATAATATAGATAGTTTAGAATTACAATTAGATGATTATAGGGATTTATATTGTGAAGAGAATAGTTATGAGTTTGATGAGGAAAAGTATAATAATAACATAGAAAATGATTATCCAGGTTTTAAAAAGTTTTTTGAATGTGTTTTTCCATTAATTAACAAATTACAAATAGATATGGATATAATTAATAGAATAAATTTTGTTAGTATATACACACTCAGTGATCTTGGTAATTCAAGCAATCTGATTGGTTAGCTATCTCGGACTATGACGTTATATTCACCGCGCTAGGCGGTGAATATAAAGCCGAGCAAAATCGCTGTCGTGAACTGGGTGTTTTGCCAAAGTTTCAAAGTAAAACCTGTTTGAAAATACACGAATATCCAAGTGCTGATGACTTTGAAGGCAAGAAAAGACTTCATGGTGTTTAAACAGCGTGATTTATTGTGAAGTGGTTTACTTTAGCTGACTTTTTGTACGCTCGAAGCTATGTTTACCACTACAGAGGAAAACGAGGTCGCTTTGTCACTGTTTTGTGATTTCGGGATTTTCTCGCAAGACCAATTTTGCCTATAAATAGAGGTTAATTTATGGAGAAGAGAGGAAGGCAAATATTTTCGAAAATTGTACGTGCCAGCAAGTTAACAAGGCAAAGAACTTTGGAGATAAACAACGCTTACCTTGATCGCAGCCGCTGTTGACAGCATTTGCAAGAAGCGACGAAGAAAACTTTCTCATTCACGGTGAGTTGACAGAAACAAATAAAGCTCTAGATACTTTTCTTCTCAGAATTGGGTAGTAATTTAAATTTTCGGCGTTTTCTTTTAAACTGTTGATGCTAAAGCTTACAAAACTCGATACAAAAGGATTAAAACTATCATTTGCCATGTTTGAAGATACTGTAAAGATCTAACTTTTGCGCATCCACTGTTTACGGCTTCGTGTTCACGCATGAATTTTCATCCGTCAATCAAACTAATGGTTTTTTAATGGTTTCCTTTCTGATTCTGTTGAGATCACTTCGTGTGAATATACTAAAACAATTATTCACCTCAGGCTCAGTTAATATTGTTGAATAATCCCCGAGACGAAGTCGAGGGGATTATTCAACAATATTAACTTCGCCTTCGGCGAATAATTGTTAAATAGTGATAGTGATAGTGATATTGATGGTGATATTGATAATTATATTTATAATGATAGTGATAGTGATAATGATGGTGATAGTGATTAATAATGATTTAAAGTCTTATAATATAAATATAATATTATAAGACGTAATGTCTAACCAATCAATTGATGGTTTTCAGGGTTCTCAACCCTTTATAACTGATAAAGAATATCAGAATTTATCTTTGGATGAATTTAAATATATATTACAAGAAGAAAAACAAAGACTTAAGGATAATTATAAAGAATTAGGTGAGAAACAAAAATTAATTAATGATATTAAAAAATTAAAAAAACTTAATGAAGAAGTAAAAAAAGGTGTTGATATTTTAAAAACAAGAAAAAAAATCCAAACCAAAAAAAATAAAAACATTTGATGAGTATTTTCAGGAATGTATAAGAGATAAAATAATTCCCCCAGATACTCCTTCTTACTTTCGTGAAGCTCTTGAGCGAGCTATTCGGGAACATGAACAAGGAATTGAAAAAGAAAAATCAGCTTTTGAAAACTTTGCTATTAAGTATATTATTGAAGGAGATCCTAATCTTACTCCAGTTGAATATTTTAATAAAATTTATGCAACTTTAAAAGATTTTTTTACATACCATAGAAATATTAAATTTAGTATGGTTTTGGTTTGTTTAATGGAACAACAAATACTTAGTAAAGATAAGGGAGTTGTTGGGTTAAAAGAAGATAAAGCATACTTTAATTCAGGTACACATATTAATCTTAAATCAACAAATGTAAATAAATTAATTGATAAAAATGTTAAAATAATTATTGAAGATTTAGAGGTATATCAAAAAAATGGAAGTGGCTGGTATTTTAAAGAAGTGATTAATCTTGAAATTCATACTGTTGAGTTTAATCCAATGAAGGGGTCATCTTATATTCCTCTTCCAGATTGGATATCAAATAAAAAAGCAATAGTTAATATTCAAAACAAAGATGAGAAATGCTTTCTTTGGTGTGTACTGAGGTATCTTCCTCCAAAAGAAAATGATGATTACCGATTAACAGATTTAAAGAAGTATGAAAATTCTCTTAACACCGAAGGAATTAATTTTCCAATGAAATTAAAACACATTTCAAAATTTGAAAAACTTAATCCATCGATTCCAGGAATAAAAGTTTTTAAAAGTTAGTGATAATAAAAAGTTTTATCCTCTGAGAATGGTGGAGAAAGACTGCCAAAATACTATTGACTTGTTTTTTTATGAACAAGATGGTGTTTCCCATTATTCGTTAATTAAAAACTTTACTCGTTTGGTTAAATCACAGATAACTTCAAGTAAGAATGGTACAGTATTTATTTGTAAGAAATGCTTTACTCATTTCACTAAGAATGAATTATTACAAAAACATATTTTATATTGTTCAACCAATGAAACAGTTGCTGTAAAAATGCCACCAAGAAACACGATGTTATGTTTTAAAAATTACCATAAACAGTTGCCAATTCCTTTTGTAGTTTTTGCAGATTTTGAATGTTTTACCAAGCCAGTGAATACTTGCAGTCCTAACCCGGAAAAATCATATACTTACAATTACCAAAAGCATGAACCATCAGGATTTTGTTTTTACATCAAAGGAATAGAGCCTAATATAAAATCTGAACCAATTATTTACACAAAAAGTACAAATGACATTTCTAAAATATTTGTTAATAAACTTACAAAAGTAACTAATAAGATATATAATGATTTTTATCATCGTCCAATTTCTCTTAAATTAACACACGCCGAACAAATATCCTTTGATAAAGCGGAAACTTGTCATATTTGTAATAAAGTATAAGTCACTGATAAAGTTAGAGATCATTGTCATTTTACTGGCCAATACCGTGGAGCAGCTCATAATAGTTGCAATATCCAGTGTCGAAAACCAATGGTTCTTCCAGTTATATTTCATAATCTTCAAGGGTATGATGCACATTTTCTTATAAAGCAACTTGATTGTTTACCAGGTGAACTTTCCTGTATTCCCTCGACAGAAAAAAAGTATATTTCCCTTTCCAAAAAGATTAAAGTTGATGAGTATAAATCTAGAAGCACTGGAGAAATGGTTTCACTATATTTTGAATTAAGATTTATTGATTCATTCAAGTTTCTTCAGACGAGTCTTGCCAATCTTGTTGGTAATTTACAACCAGATGATTTTCATAATACAAAAGAAATATTTAGGGAAAATGTAGAGTTATTAACTCGTAAAGGAGTTTTCCCATATGATTATGTTACCTCAATGAAAAAATTATCTGAAACACAATTACCACCAAAAGAAGAATTCTATTCAAAACTAAATGATGAAGACATAACTGATGATGATTATCAACATGCAATCAATGTTTAGAATACTTTTAATTGTAAAACAATTAGAGATTATCACAATCTTTACCTAAAGTCTGATGTTCTATTATTGGCAGATGTATTTGAGAATTTTAGAAAAACGTGTTTAAAACATTACAATCTAGATCCAGCACATTACTACACATCTCCTGGACTAGCCTGGGATGCATGTCTTAAAGAAACAGGACAAGAATTAGAACTGTTGCATGATTATGACATGTTGATGATGTTTGAAAAAGGTATTCGTGGAGGAATATCACACATATCAAAGAGATATGCAGAGGCAAATAACAAATACATGAAAAATTACGATCCTGATGAACCTTCTACTTATATTCAATACCTTGATGCTAATAATCTTTACGGATGGGCAATGTCACAATCACTTCCCACACATGGATTTAAATGGATGAGAGATTTAACAAAAGAAACTGTCATGGACATCCTGGAGAAAGCAAATCATAGTATGATAAATCCAAGGACTTAAAAAGGATATATATTTGAAGTAGATTTGGAATACCCCCCTAATCTATGGTCCCTACATAATGATTATCCACTTGCACCTGAGAAAATGATTGTTAATGGTGTTGAAAAACTAATTTGTCATTTTAAACCAAGAAAAAACTTTGTTGTTCATTATCGAAATCTTAGGCAATATCTTGAGATGGGAATGAGACTTACTGCTGTTCACAGAGGATTATCATTCAATCAGAGCTCTTGGATGGAGCCTTACATTAGAAAGAATACAGAACTTAGAAAAACAGCAGACAACAGTTTTGAGAAAGACTTTTTTAAATTAATGAAAACATAAGGAAACGACAAAATATAATACTTGTTGATAATCGCGCCAAAGCTGCAAAATTAACAAGTCGTCCAAACTTTGATAGAGCAACAATATTTGATAAAAATCTTATTGCAGTTCATATGAAGAAAACTGAGGTATACTTTAACAAACCAGTATATGTTGGACAAGCAATTCTAGATCTGTCAAAAACATTAATGTTTAATTTTCATTACAACTATATTCAAAAGAAATATAAACACAGGGCTGAGTTATTGTTTACAGATACCGATAGCTTGATGTATCAGATTTATACAGATGATTTTTACAAAGATATATCCCATGACATAGAAACCAAGTTTGATACGTCAGATTATCCTCCTGGCCACCCATCTGGAATACTTACAGGAGTTAATAAGAAAGTAATAGAAATGTTTAAAGATGAAGTAGCAGGAAAATTACTTATTTTGTTGGATTGCGGCCCAAGCTATATCGTTTTGAAATAGAGGAAACTAAAGAAGTTCGTAAATGTAAAGGTATAAAGAAAAATGTTGTTAAAAAGGGTATAAATTTTGAAGACTATGTACAGTGTTTATTTTCTGGTGAAAAGCAAATGAGATCTATGAAAATTATAAGAAGTGAAAATCATGATATATATTCAAAAGAAGTAAATAAAATAGCTCTGAGTAATGAAGATGATAAACGAAGTGTGATGGAGGTTAAAGTAAAAACACTTGCTTTAAGATAATAAGATATATAATAAATGGTTTACACAAAAGAAGAGATAGAACGATATTTAGAAATATTAAGAAGTTATAATAATGTCCAATCAGAAGGGGAAGAAAATACAAAAGTTAGATGTAGGAATTGTCAAAGCGATAGTTTCTTTGTTGAATCAGGTTATAATATTTGTGATTCCTGTGGAACAACTAATGGTCATGTTCTTGGTTATTTTGACTTGAAAGAATACGATCGATTTCACTTTCGAAAGAAGAGTATTTATCAGAGAAAGTATCATTATGAGAAAAAGGTTGATCAAGTTTCCAGCAGACTACATCTAACTGAGGATCAAAAGTACGACCCGTACAATAAACTAATGAAAATAGATAACCATGTCATGGAAATACTAAACAAACAATTTTGTCGGAAGAGAATGATAAGCATTTTTTATCTAATTAAAAAATTCCTAGAAGAAATGGGTTGTGAAAAGAGCAAACTAGTTTATCTAAAGATTTCCGACCAAACTATGGAAAATTATGAAAAGTGGTGGAATAGTTACAAATCACTCAACGACTCCTCTGTGGAAGATCCAGTAAATAATTCCAGTTAGATAGCCAAGTACTTCAAACTTTTTAAACGGTGTGTTGGCGATATAAACACATCCCCTACCAATGTGATACTGTTTCCAGAAAGCGCGAAAAGCGAGACTAAATATTAAATGATTGGCTAGTGTTGGTGAGTTTGATCTGAGGGAGTGTCTCGCGTCTGTTAGTCTATAAATAATTTGGTTTATGTCTAGTTTCTGTGTGAAATACTTCGCATAGAGAAACTGGTAAACAAGACAAGCTTTAATAAAGTTATCTGGATAAAACTGTGTTTTATATGTGGGAAAGTAAAAATTAACATATGCTACAATTGATTTGATCATTTCTATATTATGAATATATAGAAATGAGCTTAATTTGCTGCTACCCTGAAACGGGGTGTCAGCAAATTATATATTCATAGATAAAAATATAAAATAGTCTTAAAGAGATAAAAGTATAATATAAGCAGCAAATATGTTGGAGAAAAAGTTTACTAATGAAGATTTAGGAATCGAATTGACTTCATATATTGATTATAATCAAAATGTTTGGTTCCGAGGAAAAGATGTTGCTGAGATACTTGGTTATAGTAATGCATGTAAGAAAAGCTATCTGGAATCATGTTGATAGTGAGGATAAACAGCTAGCTGATTTGTTGGCGTACCCAAAATGGGAACGGCAACAATTCTGATTTACGAGGTAAATATTATACTTTCATAAATGAATCCGGTTTCTACTCCCTTTTATTATCCTCAAAATTAGAAACCGCTAAAAAGATCAAACATTGGGTAACATCACAAGTACTCCCATGTATACGAAAATTTGGATACTACAAACTTTTTGACAACTCGAATAACAAAATGTTTAAGATTGAAAATGAGACAGACCTTCATTATAAAGTTGGTCACCTAATTAGAAATTATTATCCAGATTCTATATTAGTAGCCGGACTGGGAGAAAATCAAGATACAGAGGATAAGAGACTAGATTCATATAAAAAGGAATATATGAGAGGACAGCCTGATTAAATGATACTTGATTATCACAAAGATTATAAAGGTCTCTGTATTGAATTTAAATCACCAGCTAATAATTATAATATATCAGAAGCTCAACTGAAGATGAAAGAGAAGTATCGTAATAATGATTATGCATTTATACTTAGTAATGATTATGATAAGATAAGTAAAAATATTCATAAATATATGGCTGGTGTTCGTATTCCTTGTAAATATTGCATAAGAGCATTTTGTAATAAAAAAAACACTAAATAAACATTATAAAGTTATTCATAAAATAGAAAAATAATTTCTATGTATTAAGTATATAGAAATTTATTTAAGATAATTTAAAAAATAAAAGCAAACTAATCCCTCAGGTTGAAATATTCTAAAACAATTATAATACCTAATAATTGTTTTTTTAAAATCTACCCATTCATAGCATTCTTCAGATATCATAAGATCATTATCTATAGTATAAAACATTTTATACTCATTAAGTTTTTTTTAAAATACTAAAAGAATTAGTTATTTCTTCGCCTTTTCTTAATACACGTGCAGTACAGGTAAAAGGATACATAAGATCCCAAGAGTCAAGTAATTCATTAATTTCTTCTAAGAATACCATAATACTTTCTTTATGTTTATTAAATAGTAATGGAAGAAAACTTTCCCTAACAACTAAATCAGCAATAGATTTAAAACAAATCTCTACTTTATCTAGAATTTCATTTCTAGAAGCCATTTTTATTATATGCTTACATAAACTTTTTATTATATTTTTTAACAAATCTATCTGCTAGAGGAGTTTGATCAATTATCATTTCATCTATCAACTTCATTCGATCGATAAAATCTTGTTTGTTAAACTCATCACCCCTTAGAGCTGACCGCAGTTCAACCAATACTTTTTCATACGTCGTAAATGCAATTTGCGTCATTTCCATTTTCTTCTTGTAATTCTTCATTTTTGCAAAACTTGCTACGACCACCCCGGCGCCATTTATCACACCGAGTATTATTCGATTTAGTGTTATTCCTCCAGTGATAGTTCCTATCACCACTAATCGTCCTCCAGACAGTGTAAGTGTTTCATCAAGAAGTTTATATCTTTTGTATGATTTCTTAAAACACCAGTATTTCTTGTGATAATGTTTGTAAAAGTCTTTGAGAGTTGTGACGTCTAATTCTGACAGAGATTTATCAATGTGATTGAATTCAAATATGTCCTTCATTTATATTTACACTATATAAGATCCAGTTAACTTTTCCCGAAGCATTACTTTGTGAAATTGAGTAGAGTCAAAGTCGTAAAAGTTTGGAGAATACATTAATCTAATTAACACTCCATCTTCAGTTGTAAACTTCCAACGTTGATTAACATTATATTGAACAGCTGGTATAGTTAATGTTGAGCTGTAGTTACTTATTTTAACTTTTGTAACATTTGTATCAAAATTTTCTGTTAGCCATAAAACAATTATTTTTCCATTAAAACTACTTGGCATGGTAAAACTTAGAGTTATTTTATTAAGATTTAATTTTACTTTATTGTTTGTTTTATCATAATTTAATTTTAATAGTATTTTATTGTTTGTTGATAAATATTTAGTTAGGGTAAAACTCCTATTTCTCCAATGACTAAAAACAATACATAAAGTAGATTTCGAAGAATGTGAAGGAGAAAAAGTAACATTATAACCATTAGCATTTAATCCTTTATATGCTATATCACTCAGGTCTTTATTAGGTGGTAGAGTAATATTAGGCTTTAAAGAATAAAAATAACTCCAGATGAGCCTATATTTATTCCGTAACTATCCGCATCAGCAAAGTCATAGAATTCACTAAAGTATAATCTGTACAAAGCATTTTTAGTAAAAGAAATTAACTCTTTTACCATTGCAACTGTTGCAGCACTTAAAAATAATAAATTATTACTGTTTCGGTCATGTTTGATATTTTTAATTTCTTTTTTATTTGCATTTATGTCAACGTTGTACATTACTTCTGTTGGTTTGATGTCAAATGCGGTGTGATAGTCGTAAACTTTATCTGGATCGATATTGTTAACTGTACCCACAATACCATAGGCAATCATATAAACTCCTCAAAAGTAACGTGGATAAACAGCAAGGTCAGTTCCATCCTGTGGAATATTAACAAGAATGTGAAGAAAAAATTTATTACCAGATGACAACTTCCGATAATTAATTATTATTCTATGGTAGTATATATAATTTGTATGTGGCTTTGAAGTGAAGTATCTGTGGGCTAGTTTACTTACACTAACATTTCCAATTGATAATCCTGTTGAAGTTCCTTTGTCGACACTTATTTGAGTCTTATTCCAAAGTAAATGATTCGTGTTGATTAACTCCAGACACAACGTGTAACTAGTAAGTGGAATTAATCTGTAAAAATTAATTCCCATCTTATACTTATATCCACCTTGGGAATTTTTAATTATAGTCATGAAAATTACCTTTAGAAGGTGATAAGTCTCCTATTTTTCTTATTAAAAAAAACTATTTCCACCATCTATTTCATCAGTCCATTGAGCCGCACTTGACATGAGATAACTAAACTGGTCGTTGTAATGACTTGGTTGAATTGCAGTACGATGAACTAGTTTGTAGACGTAATCTTTGGTTACCGCTTCATTGTCTTGGGTGTTGGATTGCTCAGATTCTTTATTTTATTGTTGTTAAGATTTAAGTCTCCAGTGATAGCGACGGTACCATCTTTTTCCAAATAATCACTCAAATCTGGACTTCCAGCATTATCATCAACATATTTCTTTGTTGCAGCATCTGTGTTTGACACTGGAGTTGCAAGACCAACTATTTTGTTGTTTCCAAGATTTAGGTTACTAGTCATTGATATACTTCCATCTTTTTTTATAAAAGAACTAGTATCAGGTATTGAGTCATCCACATACTTTTTGGTTGCAGCATCTGCATCATTTGTTGGTGGCTTTAAATGATTTATATTTTTATTATTCATATTTAAATTTTGTCCCATTGGGACTGACTCGTCAAGGTGAAGATACTTGAAATCGGTGAAACCCAGTGTTGTTGGTTGATTATTTCCTGTTGGAAGTGGAAGATTATATATTTGATTGTAGTCCATATCTACATTTCCAGTCATTTTTTTTGTTCCATCTAGATTTAGAAAATTATTATCAGTGTATGATTTTGTTGCTGCTTCATCTGCATCAGATGGTGCCTTAAGGTGTAGTATACGGTATGTATCTTTCATATCAATGTTTGAATCAACTGTTAGCCGTGATGTTGTGGGTGATCCACTGGAATTATCATCAACATATTTTTTTGTAGCAGCATCAGTATTATCATTAGGTGTACCTACATTTGTGAGTTTTTTATTTAACATATCATAATCCCCACTTGGAGTGAGACTAAAACCAACTCCTGGAGCACCCTGAATTCCCCTAGCAAAAGGATGATCAAAAGATTGTTCGTTAAATATTCCCATTTTAATTATTATGTATATAAGTTATCTTTATACCATTCATATCAATATTCCCATTCATTTTTATTGGTTTACTATTTACATTAATTATTTTTTTTACCATTTATATCAATATCCCCTTTCATATCAATATCCCCCATTTTTATTGGATTACTATCCATTTTTAATTATTGATTATATTACCAGTAAAGTTTTTTGCAATACGTTTTTTCAGTTTATCAACGTATAGAAATGAATACGGTTTTTTAGTTGCTGCTTTATAATCTTCTTTATTAACTCCTAACTCATGATCAGATGATATTCTGTTGGATTCCCTCGATGATGGAAATTCATATAAACAGTAATGAGAACAATTCAGCCGAATATCTTTTGGTGTTTTATAAAACGACTGACTGAGGTACACCACCGAACAATTCTTATGTCGTCCTTGAATGAAATAATCAATCAGTTGTCTTTGATTTCGATCGCAAACATAGTCATCGAATATCACAAGTTTTTGATTGTCTTCATAATCCATTTCTGTCACCGGGGTTATTTCATCATTACTCACATGAAGTATTTCATATCCCAGTTTACTACTCAACTCCCTCATTTTCTGAATTAACTTTTGATACTTATCCTGTTCTAGATTACGCGCGTAAAGATAAATCTCATCATAATACAGTAGTGGTTTAATTAACATGTGGTACAACAGATTAGTCTTACTACTTCCACTGTTTCCACAGATTAACATCCGAAATGTGTCTGATGGCATGTAAGGAAATAACTGTTTATATTTTTTATCTGGGTTGGCACTACTATCATAGTTTGGTATTTCTATTTATATAATGATTAAATAAAATGGATGTTGAAGAATACAAAAAACTTGCAGGAAATAAACTTGAAGCTGATGCTTTGACTAAACAGGTGAGAGATGTAATAAAAATACCAAAATGGCAAAAACAAAATAAAAGGGAGGGTTTTAAAGAAACATTTAAACCACTTATTGAATCGCAGGATAGCATTAAAAAAAGTATTGATGAGCAGCAAGACGCAACTATAGCACAACTTAAAAAAAAATCAACTTGCTCTTACAAGAGGGCTACAAAGGAACAGACTTGCATTAACATCAGGATTGGAAAAAATTTATGAAACTAATTTAAGATTGGCTGACATGAGAGAATTACCAGGTTTGGAAGGTGATTATGAAGAACCAACAACATCAGAAGCAGCTAAACCAAAATCACTTACAAGTTATGACATTGAAAAAAATCTTGACAATTCTGATTTAGAACTATTGAGTAATATGGGCTATCCAAGGCCAAATGATTTTTTTGATACTGGCACTGAAAGACTTAGAGAAATACGCGATGAAGTAAAAAATGATGTAAAAGTATTTACAGGACAAATAGCTGGTTTGAAGAGAAAAAAACAAAAAACAGAAGATGAAAAAATAGAAATAGGAATGATTCAAATGCAAAAAGATTTACTATATAAATACAAAAACATTCTTGAACTTTATCTAGGTTCGCTTGAGTATAAAATAGGAGAAGGAATGTTTTACTTTAACAACCCACATCAACTTCTAGACAGACTTGAATTACTCGGTGGTTCAATTCTTGCTGGTAATAATGGTGTAATACCTGAGTTTTCTCAAATTGCACATCTTCTCAATAAGATGAAAGTGATCTCAAAAAAACAACTAAATGATTTACTAAAAAATTATATAACGATTAAATAAAAAATGGAAGAACGAGCTATTCACATTTCCTCAATAAACAGGGAAAAAAGAGGAACAAGCAGACCTGGTGATTTTGCTATTAAGTTTAATCCATCTCTGAAACTTAACCCTGATATGAAACACGAACTTGCTCTTGATCGGCTGTCCATGACTTACTCTTGGTACAACATTAGAAGTGATTATGGAAAAAATAAAATAAAATACACCCATGATGGATCCACCTGGCAAACAATTACTTTTACAGATGGAATGTATTCCTACTCAGATATCAATGATTACATTCATCAATATATGACTCAAAAAAACCATCACTCAACAGACTCAAGTGGAAAAAAGGTTCATTCAATTAATCTAACTCTTATACTATCTACATATCGAGTTTTAATTTCAATTAGTAATAACTATCAACTTGATCTGAGAGGAACAGAATTTGGAGGCCTAATTGGATTTGAAAAGAAACTTATTATAAAAACAGAGTATGGAACAAAACTAGCAAATATCACAAATTCGATTGATGTGTTAAATATCAACACAAGCGCAATAACTGATAACATTGTAAACGGAATAAATACAAATACCATTGCTGTGATACCAACAGACAATCTCACAAGGTCTTTTCCATTTACGTTTGAGCCTAAAAGACCATTGTATTGCCCTGTCTCTACATTTCACATTGATGAAATGAGAATCTATGTAACAGACTCGCTTGGAAGACCAGTAAATTTTAACGGTATTGATTGGTTTATGACTTTGATACTCCATTCAATGTAATATAACCATTAAAATAAAATGATGAGACAATCAGAGTTTAAAATGAAACTTGACCCTGAATTGGGTAGATACACAAGACAACATATTTATGGAGAAGGAATGATGGATGTGTTTAAATCGTTTGGTTCAAAATTATTCGGAAAAACAGTAAAATCAGCTGTTAAAAAAGGAGCTAAAAAAGCGGTAACAGCACAGGAAAAAATAACCAGTTCCCATTTTGGGAATTTTATAGGGTATTTGGAGAATTCCCAAGAAAATCCCAAATTTGTGAAAGTGAGACGATTCCCAGAATTACAACTTGGGAATTTACTATTCCCTATATGGGAATTTATTATTCCCAATATTGGAAAATGTTCCAGTATTGGGAATTCAACTGTTTAAGACTTGCCTTGAAAATTTGGGAATTGCCAAATCTATACTTGGGATTTTTTCAATTTAAATTTCGTGGTACCTGATTCTTACAGTTTAAGTTAAACGTCCTTGGTCAGGATACATTTATGACAATATTTTTGTGACGAAATCAAACGAGGCTTGCTGGAATACAAACTGTCTTTATTGTATCAGTCACATAACATATACATTGGTGTGTTATAAAATACATATCAGCTTTCAACTATTACAGTTTTGTTTATAACCAGTCAATGCAAGATGGCAAAAAATCATAATAACCTTTGTTAAGCAGCAACAATGCACTCGACCTTACAGTCAAACCAAGTCAAGCGTACCCCCCCAGATTCTATCAGTGACTTGATCATTTGAAAAATGAATCCGTTAGTCGTTCCCGTAACTGGTGTCAAATTCAAAGCGGCATTTCTGCATGCATAATGAGCAGTGAATATTTTACGAGAACTTCCATGTATTTGGTCAGATTGGAAATCTTTGAATGGATTAAGCTTCTTAGAAGACATTTACATCAATTTCAGGAAAATGGAGCTGGTAGAAATTTCTTAACTGCCTCGCGTGCAAAAACACAGCTCATAACACATACAAGAATGCAGAGATCAATCTGAAATCTACAACTAGCAACGGATTCTTGAGGGGTAGGCTTGACCTGGTTTGACTGTAATACTGTATTTATAAGTTTAACTTATAAACTAAACTTACAAATTATCTGTGATTCAAAAATTTCAATTAGGATGTACCCTAAGACCTCACATCTTTTATAAGTTTTCAGCTATAAATTTGAATAGTAAACCTTAACAAACCAAAGCCATTCAATAACTTTGTTTCAGTGTTTTTCTTATGTTTGAAATGCAGGAAATAAATTGAACAGCTACCAAGTTAAACTGCAACCCGAACGTTTTTCTTTAAAGGTTACTGTCTTAGCATCTACAATTCACTTTGAAATCAACAAATCAAAAACAAACTTCCTTCACTGTACACAGATTAAAAAGTTTTAGCAGGTGTCTCATTAAGACCCGCCTACTTGTTGTGGATGTGTTTTAATTTAGGCATAATTCATTCTTCAAAACCGTTCTCAAAAAAGGATAGAAGTGATCATGAATATAGTGACTGTGATTTAACCACTGAAGTGCCAGGTTTAAAATCACTTTACAGAACAAATTGTATGCAAGTAAAAAAAAATCTTAAGATGCTAAAACTGTAAACCTCAAAGCCGGGCTGGGTTTAAAAGATGAATGTCATCTAGTGTACTATGATAAAAACTCAACCATTGTTAATACACCATACCTTAATTTCTTTGTGAACTGACGTGCTTCTTTTCTTATAAACTCTGATACTCCCTGTGCATTTCCCAACACAAATTTTGAGCCACTGCCGGACAAAATGTCATAATGGGTGTCTATAAGGAAAAGTTTACCCTTACCCTCACTTAAAATAACATTGTTGCTAATGGTGAATCATCTAAATCTTGAAACCAATTTTAAACTCTTTCCGAGCGAGTGTGCAAGCTGTTTCAACATATACTGTCATATACTGTGTTACCATCAACTATAGCATTTGCTAAAGCATGAACCCAAGAATTTTTCAGAGGATTACTGTTCTGATTGGGAATAGCCAATTCTGATTCACTCAAACAAAACATTCTTCCCAGAATAATTATTGCTATCAGAGTGCACGAATTACTACCATCTCTTCATCCTAGATGTCCTTGAGATATTTGAGGTTTGCATCTCCATACTTGTATTGCCTCTGCAAAGAGGTATGAAATTTTATATTTACTTTGAGAATGCAATGATATGAAAATACAAAACCTCATTAATTGATAGGCTTATTTTCTTTATTCTGTTTATTTGATTCCTCCCAAGCCCTAATTTCATCAAGCAAATTTCGATCACCAGACAACTCAATGTCATCGCCTGTCAGCACCTTAACATCATTCTCTATTTTAACGACTTCTTGTTCTACTAAAGCAGATGCCAGGTTTCTTAAACAATGCACTTTGGATTTCCCTCTAATTCCATGAACCTTGAGATACCTACATGCAGGTATAATATGACGATGCAACTGCACATGACTTGATGTTGTCTTTCCAAACACTTTACAAACTATTTGTTCTGCTGACTGCAGAGGCATACAGGGGCTCACAGCTGTTGATGGGATAATTCACAGTTTTTAGGGATAAAATGAAGAAACTAGTAGATGAATTAATCGTTTCACTTTAACACTGGGTATGATTTGATACTGACTCTACAAATAAAGTGCACAAAGACACACAAATAATACGAAGAAAAATTTTTGACTTATACTTTGCTCAAGGCTTCAGATTGCTTCTTGCATGGTTATTGCTTTCTCCTTGGGTGTTTGTTTGGAATGCTTTGCCATGAAATGCTACATCAAAACATTTGGGAATGACTTATAACTGAGAAAATAAGATTACAAGTGCAGTGACTGCTATTGTCGACTTAGAGTTGTGTTGTTGGACTATGATGAAGGGAATTATCTTCTTAAGACATCCCTTGGATAAGATTATTCAGCTCGACATTACTCTGTCATGCTTCATTGGTAAACAATGAAAGCACTTCAAAAAATCTTACCAAGGCCCGACAATCTGACTTGCCTGATCTGAAATTGTTATTTTTGTTTAAGGGATGATTGAAATCCAGCCTCCGCCGCCAAGTCACTAAGTATGAAGTCAAGTATCACTTTCAACTTTGAGATCTAAACTGAGGAGCAAACTTCTAATGACCCTAACCTTCTGTTTTGTGATGAAAAGCTTAAATTTTAAATAACAAAACATCCAGTCAAACCTCCCTTAGTCACACCATTTATCAGGACTTTTTATGCGAACTTCTACAAGGAACAACAATAAGCATGTGGTCGGACCACATGCAATGTAATAAAAAGCTGAAATAAAAATCTTCAGTACCTTACCATTGGATGTGTCACTGGAAGAGTCATCATCCGACAAAATGTCGGTGTCATTACCAGCAGATGTTGAGGCAGATTCTGAGGATTCTGAGCCCGACTCACGTATCTTTTTGCTTTTTCTCTGGAAAGAACAAAAAGTAATTTTTACAGCTCTGATTTGAAGTTTAAAACATATGAGGTAAGGCAGTACAATAATTGTGTGGCTCCATATCGACAATCCCCCAGGGATGGGGGTCTCATGACCAAGAGCTCTACATTTTAAAGGAAAACACAAAGCCTTACGTGGAATGTCTGCTGAGACAAACCAAAAACCCTTTGTGGGGGCAGAGGGTGTTTTTTTTCCCCTGGAGAAACATTTTGTTTCTTTTTACAAGAATAAATACATGTATTATCAAATAAAATTGTTTGACAAACCTCATAGCTGTGTCCCAAATTTATCATTCTCTTGCGCTCATAGAGGACTGCTTTGATATGTTGTCTGATTCCATCTGGAAGTAAGAAAGGAAACAAAGGAAAAGAAAGCATAACCTTTTACATCTGGAAAAACTAGCTACTTAGTTAAGCCTGCTACAAAACAGCCGTTTATTGGGATTGGGTTGATCTTTAATTAATTTAAAGCTTGTCCTTGCAATAGTTCATTCAAATGCCAAACTATGAAACAGCTGACAGTGATCATATACATTGTAGTACTTTTAGAGTATTTTAAATTCAAGTTTCATTGCCATGTCACAATGAAAAATAAAGCAGCAATGAAATGGTGTATTTAAAAGGAAAAGCAGCACCTTCAAATAGGCATGGCAGCAACAAAGTTTTTTAATCTCTGCTGCTGTTAACTTCTCCTTCCTTGTAGGTGGGCTGTATTTGATGTTTTTCGGCAACACAACTGAACTTGTCTTTGCACTTAATTGTGGCACTGCATGTACCTCACCTAAAGAGGGAAAAGGTGTCAAAGTTTAGCAAAAATTTATAAACCCCACCCAAACAATTTAACAACTTACTGTAAGCAGCAAAATGGGAACAAAATGGGTGGGAATTTATCGAACCTGTCACCGAACGTTCGCATCATGCAATTTTAGCGAATCGTTTGCACGGGCTGGCACAGGAGGCGAAGTGAAGTAAATGTACTTTACTCCATTTTAATCTTGATGATTCGCAATACTACAAAAAACACGTGCTTTCCTTCGGCAAAGTTGGACTAGACACACAGAAAAGGAACAAAAAAGAACGAAAAATGTAAGGTCGTACCTTGAATGTTCTCTAAGGATTCAATGTGCGAAATAAATTCCATCTGCTCCCCAACAGTTGTTAGTCCACATGCCTGGAACACACTCTTGTCTTGAGACTTCTTCATAATTGACAAGTGTCGCCCTTTCACTTTTTGTTCTGTCAACAAAATAAAGACCAGAAACTCGAATAAGCTGCAAAATTTATCACGTTGCCACGAGCTCTTAACACTTTGTTGAACGCCTTAATGGCAGCTTACCTGCGAATTTTTCAATAACTTCTTTTTCGAACCCTTTTTCTTCTAGAAATTGTCCAACTCTCTCCACAGACCATTCTGCAAGGAAAGGCGGGAATCATGTTTCGAGCTTTAGAAGTATCAAACTGGAAAGAAAAAACCCTGTCACGAACTAATTTTTCAAAAAAGAAACGATAGAAAGTCACCGTAACATACCTCTGTAATCTTCTTCCATATTTAACGGAAAAAACACAACAAAAACGCGATTAAATACGCTCCACTGCAACCTAACACTCAGCTCGAAGGCGGGAAGATGTGGTTTGAGTGCATGCGCAGTATCGCTCGCTTTCAAAAGGACTGGGTTCTAAGACTATTTCCAGTCCTTCTCCACAGTAACGCCTGCAGTCTTGCAGTCACGCGAAGAGTAATGGTGGTGAGAAGATTTAGAATATGGCAACTCCTGATCCAGTGTTTTTGTACTGTATATGCAGTGAAAGTGACGTTCAGCCACATGTTCATTGCCAGTGCGGAATTTGTGATAATAAGCCCGTATCAAGAGCAACCGCTTACAGACATTTCAACAGAACAAATCAGTTACTCGCAAAAAGTGAACAATCTTTATTTCACAGCTAACTTTTAGTCCCTTCCAGAAATAATTTACCCTGAGAGCAGAAGGTTTCTGTCTTGCATGTCTTTTAGTGTTTACGAAGTCGTTTGCGTATTGTCTGTCACCTAATTGTTTTTTTACGCCCCCTTGCACATATAAAACAGGCTGACTGCTCGCAGGGTAGAAATCATTTTCATATTTTAATTCTTTTTTAATTGCAAATAAAATTGGGAATAAGGTAATTCCCAAATTCAAAAGCAATCTGTGAAAGATATTGTGAATCCCCAAATTTGGGAATGCAATACCCAAGTAATTCCCAAATTTGGGTTATCAATTTGGGATTTTACTTGCGATTCCCAAAATGGGAACTGGTTATTTTTTCCTGTGGATGATGACAGTTTGTAATAGGCCCTTCTAATAATTTACTCTATAGCTCTATAGTGAGATAGACCACTTTCCATTTTTGTTAAGTGTTTTTGCATTTTCCTCTAGGTGACAATGACAATCATGATAATGACGTCTCTTATGATGGTTCTCGACCATGAACCCCGTTTCAAGAGCAAGGTGTGTATCAAATTACAGTACAGTAAAACCACGCGAGTAATAATCTTCCATTTTGACATATAGCCTAAACAGGTTCTGGCATAGATGACAATTAACAGATATTTAAGTTATTTAGGTTCTTGAAAAGGTTCTTACTTTCTGAAGAAAAAAATCACATTGTAGGTAGTACAATGTAGTGGTATTTGTCCTTTCTCTTATGCGGCAGGTAGGTTTTTCCGTATGCCTTATATAAATTGTCTCAAAGGAGAACTGGTCTCCACGAGAGCTATCAATGTCAATTGATCTTATTTGCCAAAGTGCACACATTTTTAAGTTTTTAGAAAATAAGGACCTGTTTCAAATTTTTAGAGTCAACAGGTTCTTGTTTAGAGGGGGTCCAACTAAGAAATTTCAGGCTAGCAGGTTCTTAAAACATAGGTTCATACCTGCAGACCGTATTCAGTTAGGTGATACTTGATGCACTTTGTAAGCCCTGCCATGTAATATTAATGGCGGATGAGCAACAAGGGCACAAGCAACCACGTTCACAGTCTGTCTCCCCCTTCTCCCTTTCCCTCTCCGTATCAACTCTATTCCCTTCTGTCTTGCTTGCACTTTACAGATGGAGAAAGAAGGAAAGATACTGGTTGAATGGGGTAGAGTCACATACATATATTTAAATGTGGTATTGACTAGGCACAGTGGTGTTTCATAATTCCTTGTAACCATGTAATTACTGTTTCCCTCTTTTATTTCATGATCATTTTTCAGTGCTGCTGTGCACTGAGGACACAACTATGCAGGGAAATGAGGAAGAACATAAGCCTAAAGATCAGGAAGATTGTAAGATCAGATCAAAAGCACCCAACACAAAGCGTAAAAGATCAAACATGGAAAAGAGCCTCGATGTGTTTTGTGAAAGATTTACTCAGATATCAAAACACGAAACAGAAAGGTAAATCTACCTTTATGTTATCAATCAAAACTGCTACAACACTGTTTGTTTTAGCTAGAAACTACAAATCCTCAGGGCCATGTTGTTCAAAACCGCAATTAGCGCTGATCCTGGATTTAATTGGTAAACAAATTAGATTGCATTGCTTAAAGGCTGATTAATGCCAATCTGACTCTAATTGGTGGGCTAAATTTCATACATCTCCAAAACGGGCGACAATATAAGGGGATTTACATCAAGTGCTAACCTATAATATGGCAAATAACTAATCGGCCTCTCATCGGGCTTTGAATTACGTTCTCAGCTCCACTAATTAGCTAACTCAATTTTAGCATTTTTAACCGACACTTAGGCTTAATCAGAGGTTAGTTCAGGTGAGATTTGGAACAACCAGCTCGAGAAGGATAAAGTCCCATTAAACAAATATTTTGGGTGTGAAGTTTTTTGAAAATTTCAATTTTATATTTTTAATACAGGTACCTGAAAGCTGAAGAAGATCGACACAAGCGAGAGATAGATTTTCAGATAAAGCAAGCACAATTGGAAAATGAACGGCCACGTTCGGAAAGAGAACATGAGATGAATGTTTTAAGATTAATATTAGGTCATGAGCATGTTTCTACGGGACCTATTCATTATGCTCCTAATGACAATTGGGAGCAAAATTACCTAGGGATGTCAGCCAATTCAATGCATCAGCCATCTGTTCCTACGCACTCTAGTATGGACAATATTTCTGTTTCAGACTAAGATGGCTCAACACTTGCAACCTTGTAGTACAGTATTTTATAGTTGTTTTTACGAGAAACATTGGCTACATAACCCCCTGGTGATGTTTGTTTATAGTGTCGATAATGTTTGTAGCCTGCAGCCAGCAGCCCCGGTTAAATTTTGTCTGCTTTAATTTTTCCAAAATCCTTATGCAATGTTTTTCCTTGTTTTTAATGTTTTGCATTTTGTAAATGGCGTATGTTGCTCTTCAAGCACAAAGTTGCGTTGTATTATCGGAAATAAATGTTCATAATTTTTGCAAGAAAGTACCTTTCATGTATTTCCATATTATGTTGCCTAGCCGTTCACCTTGGTATCCTATATATCTGGCTTAAAAGGATGATGTTCATTTATCAACTGTTGTAAAACAACGTTAAGGCACCATTATTATCACTACAAACAGGAACACATCGGTGTGACTGGTTGTTAGCATTGAATTATTTTCAGCTTGGCAAAACCATCGACAGAATAGTAGAGATAAAGGCCCTAATATGTCAATCAAACAACCTTGTCCTGCTTTAAGAAATTAATTAAAACCAGGAACTGTGCAATTGGAGGGGATATGGGAGGGGGGAGGGCTTTCGCTGCCCACTTTTCTGAACCAAAACGAGTAGTAAGGGTGGACACTTGGCAACTCAAAGGATGCCGCCGCCGCTATTGTTTAAAGGCTATTGTTCTAAGTTGTCAATCAAATTAAAAATTCAAGATGGCGCTCGAAGAGCGCTCGGAGGGCTCAAAGGATGCCGCTGTATTTTCTTAGTTATTTCACATGTGTAAAAGAGATGTTATATATGTGGATAAAGGTGATGGCTTAGACATGTGGGACAATGTTCGTCTCTCACCAATTGCGCACGACGCATGCGCAGTAGCGCATGTTCGGTAAAAACGTTCTTGTTGAATGTGTAAGAAGAGAACGGGGGGTATAGCTCAATCGGTAGAGCGCTCGCTTTGCAAGCGAGAGGTTCAGAGATCGAAACTCTGTGCTTCCAAAAATTTTTTATCGACTCTACCAGGACTTGAACCTGGAATCTCCTGATCCGTAGTCAGGTGCCTTATCCATTCAGCCATAGAGTCATAGAGAAAAAACAGGGCATAGCGAGGTTTTGATCCTCGTACCTTCGGGTTATGAGCCCGGTGCGATCACCATTTCGCTACCATGCCGCTACAAGCGATTCAAAGAAAAATAAAGATCTAATGCTAAAAGTAATTTATTACAGTGTTTTCAGATAGCGTTGACATTTAGCGCATAAGAGATTTATGTCGCCGACCATATTATCGAAGATCAAAGTCTTCTCTTCTTTTTTCACTTCTTTCTTCTCAGCGTCTCTCTTCTTCTCTCTTTGTTGTCTCCTCATCTCTTTTCTTTTGAGGGTTCGAATATACTTTTTGACTGAGAGAATGTGAGCTTCTTTAAGATTTAAGACAGCCTTCAGATATTTTACTTCAGCCTGACAACCAAACCAAGCATCGCCGAGCTCCTTATCTGTAGACATGTTTAAAGTGTGTGCATTAGAAAAATGAGAATGAGAGATATATGAGCGCGTTCCACTCAGTGGTTTCGTATGCTAATTCACGCGCGCTTCAACATTTGCATGTAAACTCTCTGAGTCAGCTAAAATGAGCTATGTGTTAAAAAGAAAAAAAGACCTGAAAGAGAGAAAGAGAGAGAATCGAACCAGTAAGCTTTAACGTAATGAACATTTACCTGTCGTCGGTACTAACGCTTAACGCACTGCGCTAAGCCCGTTCCCGACAAAAGTTTACTACAAAATAAACTAGTCTTTCTCATTATTGGTCATTGACTTTAAATCATGTGGTGGTTCCTAAAAGAACCGTTTGTGGGTTCGTCAAAAGACGAATTAGTAGGATCTGTATTTCCTACTTAGAAATTGGCTGTGGTATGTGAAGGTGAATGGGTAGGCCGATATTATTTTCCATTTCTCGCCTGCTACTTTTTCGGAGTAATACACAGCAATGTGCTTCGCGGGAAAGCCTTCAGGATCCACACCGATTTGCTTGTTGACTTTAAACACGAACAAATAAAAATGTCCGTGCCATTCTTTCCAACCTTCATCTAATAATGTCACGTTTTCGTCGTCCTTTTCCCAGGTCAGCTCCAATACATCCTTTAACAAGTCGACTAAATTCAAGTGTGAAGAAAATAAAGAGGTTTTTACATGTTCTTTTCTAAAAACATGCCTCTCGTTAATATGATCTGCTTGTTCTTGCGTTAGGAAAGCTCCCTCGGTTTCAAAAGCCGAAGCCATCGTTGAAAATAAAATTGTTTCTGATTCATCTTAAAACAGAGTTGAAAACAAAAGGAGTCCAACTTCAAAAAGAGCGAAAAGGGTAATTGTTTTTGCCGTCCACCGTTAAACTTAAAAGAGCAGCGAACTTTTTTACCGCTAAGGTTTAAAACTTGAAAGCGCCGCGAAAAGGTAATTGGTTTTTGCTGCGCCGCATTTGTTGTCCCTGCACCAAAGAGCGTGAATCTCCCATGAACAGCATAAAGCAAGGCTAAGTTTGCGAAAAGTCACTCCGCTCTGCTCTTCACAGTATCAAGACTTCCAATCCGTTGCTGTTCCTGTTTCCAAGATGAAGACATTATATCAGCTCGCCATTGACGCAGTTCCGAATAAAGGACTAATGGCAGAAACCTTCCTAGTACCATGGAATCCAGTTGCCCAACAACTACAACAGCAGCAATACCTTGAAGACAGGAATCGCTTTCGAGAAGAACATCGCTTCAATTTCAGGTTTGTCTATGCAGATTTGTGTTTTATCGAAACATTGTTTTCAAGCTCAAAAATATACCCAAGCGATGTTGCGTTTTTAAATTGATTGTGGAAACAAATCGACAATTTACTTTAGTTAATGTTGTGTTTTTAGACCGATTCTGGAATCCCTGTTTTGGATTAAAGACTGCACATGGTTAAGTGTGAAGACCAAATGTTGTATAATTGAACTGTAAAAACGTGTTTTTAAATGCGCTTGTTAAATGTTTTTATTTTTAGAAATTGTTTGAATCAACTAAAAGTTCGAAGATGGAACATGTACTGCCATACAACAGAATGGATTCCCGTTAATGTTAGGGTGCCTGTGTGTTCACAATGCAGTAGAATTAGGTCAACCCAATTAACATTAGACGGTTTGCGTTTAAAAAGGCAGAAAAAATTTGTCGATAAAAATAAAGAGGCGCGTTTAATTCAAGAGTATTATTATTCACCTATTCATAGACGCTTAGAATTTATGTAAGTTTTTTTGTTCTCTTTAGAAAATGTTTGCGCCAGATAAAGAATCGCCACTACTGTAGATCGGTCCATTGGCTTTCTTTCAATCGAGAAACCTGCTCGCAGTGCCTAAGAGTTTGTGTTGAGGGATTAACCGTTGAAGGTCAAATGAGACATGACCGATATGAAAGAGTTAATTTTGAAAGGGAACGCCGTAAGATTTTAAAGTTTTTTAGGGGTACACATATTTTAGAAAGACGTCGGGCACTTGAACAACGAATGATGCAATCTTTTGGTTTGTTTTAGAAAAGTGTTACAAGATATCCGTTTTTCCCCGCTACATCCTTTTACAGAGTGGATCGAAATCAATAGGCAGACAACTGATTTTCGTATCACAATTTTAAATGTAACGATCGATGATTTAAAGCTTGTTGACAATCCTTTTTTTCCTGGTATTGAAACAATGATTGAACGTTTTGAGCGAACCTACGCTCACCTAAAATTAGAATTTCCCTGGTTTTTTCGCGATTATTATGAAGAGTTGTATTAATTTATTTTTCTTGAATCCCGTTTGTAATTAAGTGCTTTAAAAAGGACTTAGCTGACTTGCGGCTAAATTACGTTCCTCTTATTGCACTATTTAAGAATCTTATTGTAACAATTTACCGAAGGGAGGTAAAATGAAATAAAGTTAAGTTTGCGTGTAATTTACTTGTGTCTTTGGGGAAAAAAAGAAATGAACTGAGATTGTCAAATGAACGCTCAGGCGTGAAGGGTTTTTTCTTAGAAAAAGAACAAAAGAAATTAGCCAAACAATTAATTAGAAAAAAGACAAAGAGATGACACTATTTGTAGCTGACTCAGCCAAAAATTAATTAGAAAACTTGGGCAACCTTGAACCTCTTTTGAAATCATCATTAGAACAAACTTGACTCTATTATGATGTCATGAAAACACGCGCTCCACAGATAAGTTAGCTAAGCCGCGTCTCTTTGAGCGCTGTTCAGTTTTTACTGTCTTACTGTGTGGAGCTTTTCCAAAACGATCTTCGAAAATCATGCGTTTGCCTTTAAGCGAGTGGATCCAAGGTTCACCTTTAACGCGCCAATGGTTGGAAAAACTTGCCAAACAGCTAAACTCCGCAGAAAGTTTCGATGCCGCCAACGGTGAATTTTACGCTGAACTGTCGTTTTTCAAGAACCGACAGCGTGGGGGTAGACCCCGAAAAAAAAATCCTGGCAAAAAGTCGTTTGAACAGTTGCTGGCAAAAAGATACGTGATTACAATCAAAAACAAAGATGACCTGTGTTTCGCCCGCGCATTGGTATCGACCAAAGCCTATGTGGATCAAGATCCGCAGTATGAAAACATTTCTCAAGGACGTGGGCAGCAGGGACATCTGGCCTACATGCTTCATCAAGAAACCGGTTTTTCCCGAAGGACCGTGTGGATTACCTGAAATTCAACGAATTCAAGAACATCTCGGCCCTCAAGGTTACCAGATTAAAATCTATGAAGGGGTGTGTGGCGTTCTCTGGTACCACGATGATACGTTTGATTCTGCCCCGAAAAAACTGTGTCTGTTGAAAGTCGAACATCATTTTCATGGATTAAGAAGCGTGCCGGCTCTCCTCAATCGCGGCTATTACTGTCACAAATGTAACAAAGGCTACAATCAGGAAGAATCGCCTCATCACAATTGTTCTCGACAGAACTGTGAAGCTTGTAGAAGAAAAAACGGAAAATGTC